ACAGACACACACACACAGTAATTACTCTATCAACAATTCCTATAACACCTTAATTTGTGTTCTCCCTTAAGAGTCCTGCTGATCAATGTTTACTGTCTGGTTATTTAAATTCTGCTTCGGCTTCCAACAATAACACTAATTAGCAACTCCTATGGTAAGGGAGAGATGGTGGTGGTGAGAAAGATCCTATTGATGGTGGTGGTGAGAAAGATCCTATTGATGGTGGTGGTGAGAAAGATCTTATTGATGGTGGTGGTGAGAAAGATCTTATTGATGGTGGTGGTGAGAAAGATCTTATTGATGGTGGTGGTGAGAAAGATCTTATTGATGGTGGTGGTGATGATAGTGGTAATGGAGACGATGATGGTGATGATGATAGTGATGATGATGGTGTACTAGGTAGAGAGGAGTATCCAACATGACCCATATAAAACAATTGGTAGACAAATTAACACTTCACTCTACCTGTGCCAATAGTTACACACACACTCTGGTTATACGTGTAGGAGAGGAGGATATCACGGACGGACGGACGGACGGACGGACGGTTAAGACAAACATTCCAAGCTTCTCGCGTAACCTCAGAATTTTAGAATTTCCATATAAAAGAATCTATTCCAATTCTGTGGGAAGGGGGAAGAGAAGGGAATGGGATGGGAAGGGAGGGTTGGGAGAGGAAGGGAGGGGATGGTTGCGCGTGGTTCGAAAGGAAAAAAAAAAGTTTCCAGTAATTCCGTCTCAGAATCTTTGAGGGTTCCCGACCATGATAATCGACTCAAAGACCCTTTTATCAGCTGAGAATCTCCCGAGTATAGGACTGAAGCCTCTATCTATATGTTCCATCAGGAGGAACTCTATAGCCACATTAAGATAATTTAAGACCATAGCCTCAGGTTCCTGGGCAAGAGGGACATTCTGATTGACCGTAGACCGGGGAATGGAACAAGAGAGAGAGAGAGAGAGAGAGAGAGACAGTATGTAAGACTTTTGAGATTTCTGCTCTCTCTCTCTCTCTCTCTCTCTCTCTCTCTCTCTCTCTCTCTCTCTTCAGTGGTAGGATTGTGGGTTTCAAATCTGGCTCGCAGAGGTTTGGAATCCGAGTCATGTTTTCCCAAATATGTTTCCCATCTCCTTTAAAATCAGTTTCCCTTAAAGATTCATCATATTCTAATATTTGTTTTCATTATAATATATTTTTTCCTTTATTTCATTTTCTGGCAATTATCTTCTTCTTCGTGGTTACATTATTACATTATCTTTATTTCTGTTATTTACATACGTTTGGTCTCTCTTTGTTCCTCTGGTATTTATTATGTTTTATTTCTATATCAATGTTTATTCATTTTAGACAGGCAAACTTATACTCTCCGTCTCTCCTTCTGTCTAAACTGTTTATCTGTATGTCTGTGATTACGTCTCTCTCTCTCTCTCTCTCTCTCTCTCTCTCTCTCTCTCTCTCTCTCACCAGACAGAAGAAGATATGAGACGTGAGGGAGTGTGGGAGAGGCAATATGCAAGAAGCTTATTGATATCCACTCCCGGGGACTTGATGACCTTGCCTCTTGGCCAGGAAGAAAGGAAGGGAGGAGGGAGGGAGGGAGGGAAGAAAGGAAGGAAGGGAGAGAGAGGGAGGGAGAAGGAAAAGGGGGAAAGAGAGGAATTGCTACGCCACCACTTGCCTCAGGCTCAGGGTGGAGAGGGGTAGGGGGGTAGGGAGGGTAGGTGTTGAGGAAATTGTCAGGACCCCCCGAAGCAAATTGTGCCGGAAGGGGATGTCGACCTGGTGATGGCGGCAGTCTCTCTGTCTTGGTGTCACTTATAATACTTAATGAAGGAGGTGTGTGTGTGTGTGTGTGTGTGTGTGTGTGTGTGTGTGTGTGTGTGTGTGTGTACATTATACTCGTATGTTTCGGTGTCTTAGTTGACATACACTTAATATATTTCGTCTACCTGGTGGTGGTGGTGGTGGTGTGGTGGTGGTGGTGGGGACAGTGGTGGTGGGGTTGGTGGTGGTAGCTTGTGGTGATGGTTGTGAAGATGATCGTGGTGGGTGATGCTGGTAGTTACTAGTGTTGTTAGTGGTAATAGTAGCGTTTATTGGTGCTAGTACTGGTGATGATATTAGTGGCGATAGTAGCTACTGGTAGTGGCGTTGGCAGCTATTAGTGAGACTAGTAGTGGTGTTAGTGATGACAGTAGAGGTGATAGGATGGTGGTAGAACATCACAACTACTCAACCCCAAGATACTCTTCCTTCACCACAACTACCACCACAACTAGCCACACCACCACAACTAGCCACACCACCACTACCTTAACCACCACCACCACTACCTTAACCACCACCACACCACACAACACCGCCCGCTGGGATGTGATAAACGCCCCCAACGGAACGCAACATTCTTGTGTCGCGCCGCCGATAACGACCGATATCTTAACAGCAACAGACTCGTAAATAAATACGACACCGTCAACGTCTTCCATTTGTTTCCCGAACATTGCTGAGGCGACACTGACCCGGAGTAAACAAAAACAAACAACACTACATACTGTAAACAACAACAATAATAGCGAGTAAACAAAAAAACAACACTACATAAACAACGACAATAATAATAATAGCGAGGAAACAAAAACAATTATAGGGGTAAACAAAATCAATAATAAGTGATAAATAAAAACAGGGAAAAACACACACACACACACACACACACACACACACACACACACACACACACACACACACATACCTCGTTGCTTGACAAACAATTCATAACCTCTAGCAGTCTCATTAGCATGGGGAGAGGGGAGGGGATGGGAGGTGAGGGGGGGGTGAGGAGGGGAGAGAGGTGAGGGGAGGGGAGGTGAGGGGGTGAGGAGGTGGAGGGAAAAGTATTGAGGGAGGAGGAGTGATGAGAGGGGTAGGGAGGTGAGGGGAAAAGAAGAGTGAGGGGAGAAGTGAGGGGAAGGTAGAAGCATGTAGCAAACCACCTCCTGTCTTTCCCCTTCTCTGTCTCTCCCCTTTCGTCCTCCCTCTTTATTTATCTTCCCTTCCCTGTCAATCGCCATCCTAATCCTCACCTTAACTCCCATTTACTGTTCTTCCCTTACCTTTCCCCTCCCATCCTCCCCTCACCTTTCCCTCCCTTCTCATTCTACAACATTCCCACCTTTCCTCCCCCTTATCTCCTCTCACCGTCCTTCTTCCCCCATCTCTTTCTCCTTCCTTCGCCTCCTTTCCTTTTCCACGGCCCCCCCCTCCCCTTTCTTCCCATTTGCCTGACTACCTCTTCCATTTCTCCCCATCCCCTTGTCTTTCCCTATCCCTTTTCCACTCCTTCCTCTCCTTCATCCAGCCTTTTTTTCCTTCCCTCCCACCCACCTCCCACCTCCCACCCACCCCTCCCACCCACCTCTCCCACCTCACAACACAGTGGACCACCAATAGCCTGCAGGTAACGCCAGGTATTATTGTTGGGGTGTATAATGAGGTCGCTGTTCTTCCCACACTAACTCTTATTTTCTTATTCATTTTACATTTTTTTTTAATTAATATTCATAATTATTCTTAATTTTATCACATCTGTTTATCATTGTATTTTATGTGTAATTAATTTGTTATGTATATTGACTCTTTTATTATCGTCATTTTTTTTTTATTCTTGTATTTATGTCTATTCGATTACGTTTTTGTATTAGACATATGATACGATTTTTTCTTTTCTCTCTCTCTCTCTCTCTCTCTCTCCTTCTCTCTGTCTCTCTCTCTCTCTCTCTCTCGTTGTTTTTCTTCATTATTCTCCTTGTTTATTTTTGGGTTTATAGTCACTTGTATATACTGTAATTTGCTATATTTTGTTGATTTTGTTGATTATTCTTGTTTTGTTTTGCTTACTGTTTATATTGTAACCACTGTCTCTCCCCTTCAGTATAAACAATGTAAACAAGGGATGAACAAGGAGAGGAAAGGTTAAGAAAAATGCAGATGATAGTGACCTCGTATGCAGATGATAGTGACCTCGTATGCAGATAATAGTGACCTCGTATGCAGATAATAGTGACCTAGTATGCAGATAATAGTGACCTTGTATGCAGATGATAGTGACCTAGTATGCAGATAATAGTGACCTCGTATGCAGATAATAGTGACCTCGTATGCAGATAATAGTGACCTCGTATGCAGATAATAGTGACCTCGTATGCAGATAATAGTGACCTCGTATGCAGATAATAGTGATCTCGCATGCAGATAATAGTGACCTCGTATGCAGATAATAGTTACCTCGTATGCAGATAATAGTGACCTAGTATGCAGATAATAGTGACCTTGTATGCAGATGATAGTGACCTAGTATGCAGATAATAGTGACCTCGTATGCAGATAATAGTGACCTTGTATGCAGATGATAGTGACCTCGCATGCAGATGATAGTGAACCTCGTATGCCGATGATAGTGACCTAATAGTGACGTAATAAAAATAATAATAAATAAACAAGTAATGAAACCTCAAGAGAAAATTGAAAGAAGAAAGAAGAAGATTTGATAAAGTGATGAAAATAAAGACTCGTATAGATCACTAGCTTATCCACCCATCTACCTGTAACAGATACCAGGTGTTGACCCAAACTTCTTAATAATGACTTAAACACATAAACTCCATCACTACTTATATCAATACCTGTAGCCTGACAAGATATGTTGGCATCAAGTATATATAATTATTAAAATACTATAGATCCCTGGGCCAAAACCCTCAAAGTTAGGTTTATAACCCTTGACCCTGATAATAAAAAATGACCAGATCTCATTATTCTTTATACTGTATAGAGCGTAAATGTGTTAACCATACAAGTGTCATATTAATTAATCAAAAGAAAACCAAACAGTAAATAAAATATAATAATAATAATAATAATAATAATAATAATAATAATAACAATAATAATAATAATCCCAAAATACAGCATTAAACAAGCGTACTCCTTCCCCCCACAGGTACAGCCAGCATCCGTATCTTGAACATGCAGGTGCCACCAAAGGTCCAGGCGGGGAAGACGGTCCAGCTCGGGTGTGAATTCGACCTGGAGGGGAACAGCCTGTACTCCCTCAACTGGTGGCGCGGCTCCGACCAGTTCTACCAGTTCAGCCCTTCAAGCCCTGACCAGATCATCGTGTACAAGTCTCCGGGCATCACCGTCGACGTGAGTGTTCTCTCTCTCTCTCTCTCTCTAGGACCCCTCGACAACACTCAGTCATCGTTAGCGGTGTCCTCCCCCTCACACCATTTTCTCCTCGTCCTAATATTCCACTAGTCTCCCCTCGGCTCATATCCCAGCTATCATTGACCCCTCTCATCTACCCTCGAGTCCTCTCCCTTCCCTCGCTTCCCCTCTCACAGCTTCCCACCCACCTGCCGTCCCCTCTCTCCTCTCCCCACTCTTTCTACCTCCCCTCACCTACTTTCCCGCTGGTTCTCCCCTTCCCTCACTTTCCCACCCCACCACCTGCAGTCCCGTCTCTCCCCTAGCCTCTCCACTCTCTCCCCAAGGCCAATATCTCTCTCTCTCTCTCTCTCTCTCTCTCTCTCTTAACCTACAGTAATTATCCAGTACTGGGAGAGTTAACGACACAGATGCCTCCCAATTGTATAGTTGTTTTTTATATACATTTCCAGGTCATTCGTGAATTTTTCCCTCCCGCGAACATTGTCTTGGAGGAAGCCCTTGGCGTTAGATGCTCTCTGTGTAATGAACGGAATTAAATGGCAGTAATTTCGATGCTTTTATGTTGCAGATAAACAAAAGCAAACACGAGGAGTATTTTTTAGTTTCTTCAAGAGTGCTATAGCCTGTAGATAAAATATTACCAATTTCGATGCTTTTACGAAACAAATGACAGAGAGAAAATAAAAAGAGACAGACAGACAGACAGACAGACATATCGACAGGCAGACAGACAGACTATGAGAAAATCTACATGTATATAATATCATTAACTTTACATTCATTCATCAACATCGTTTCATTATTCATTTCATTTAATATACATTTACAATGTATATATTCTATTTACATTGTAATTGTATTCATTTTTTTGTACCGGGGTGAGTTTATTATACAACTATAAATATGTATGGTTGTTGAAAGCTGCCCTAAACTGGGGGTAATGTTCAGGAGATGTTTACTGTACTCTCTCTCTCTCTCTCTCTCTCTCTCTCTCTCTCTCTCTCTACATCTTAACTCCCCAACAATACTACGACACTTCCTCTCAACTACACCACTACCCGCCACCTTCACCCACCACCTACACCCACCTCCTACACCCACCTCCTACAGCCACCACCTACACCCACCACCTACACCCACCACCTACACCCCTCAGCCATCCCACATGCAAGTCCCCATCACAGGTAGCTCTTTCCTCTCACTGGCTGACCTCCTCCTCCTCCTCCTCCACCTCTCCCTCCCCTCCCCCTCCTCCCTCCTCCCCCCTCCTCCTCCTCCCTCCTCCCTCCCTCCCTCCTCCCTCCCTCCCTCCTCCTCCTCCTCCTCCCTCCTCCTCCCCCCTCCCTCTCCTCCTTCTCCTCCTCCTCCTCCCCTCCCTCCTCCCTCCCACCCATCCACCCACCTCTTCCCTTATCTGTGTCTCTTCCCTCCCATGATACCGTCTTGAGTCGTGAATGTTAGAATCAATCAGCAATCAACATTGAACCAACGTGTGCTTCCCTCCTCCTCCTCCTCCTCCTCTCCCTCCTCTTATATTTCCCTCAGTCGCTCTCTTGCACCACACACATCCAGTCTCCACCATGGAAGATATAATGGGTGATGCTGGAAAGTCAGGAGGACGGAGGAAGGACGAGAGAGAGAGAGAGAGAGAGAGAGAGAGAGAGAGAGAGAGAGGGAGGGTGATGAGGAAGTGGGGGAGGAGGAAGTGTGTAATATAGGGAAGATTACAGAAGGAGGAGAAGGAAAAAGTGCCAGAGAGAGGGGAGGGAAGGAGCAGAGGGCAGGAGGGCAAGGGCAGGGAGACGGGGGAGGGGCAAAGAGGCAGGGGCAGGGGGCAGGGGAGCAGGGAGGGCAGGGGGCAGAGTGAGAGGCAGGGAGGCAGGGGCAGGGAGGGCAGGGAGACAGGGGCAGGAGACAGGAGGGCCAGAGACGGGAGGCAAAGACGGGAGCAGGGGGCAGGAGACAGAAGACTGAAGGGCAGGGGCAGGAGGAACGCAGGAAAATGGGTTTGCTGGTTTCGCTGCCTGGTTCAGCTGGTGGTCCAAGGTGCCACCTACAGCTGCTCAAAGAGGGAGAGTGGGGGCAGGAGAAAAAATAAGTGGGGAGAGGGAAGGAGAGGGTGTAGGGAGAGGGAGAGAAGGGGGAGGTAGAGTGATGAAAAAAAGAATGCCGCAGAAAGAGGAGTAAGAGGGAATAAAGGAAGGAGAAGGAAAGAAAGAGGACAAAAGACACAAGAAGAAAGAGAGGGTATAGGAAAAAATGGAGGCGAGGGAGAGCAAGAGGACAAAGAATGGAAGAGGAAGAAGAATGAGAGAGAGAGAGAGAGAGAGAGAGAGAGAGAGAACAATGCCTCATAACACTAACCATTAACACCTCGCAACATGATCTACTATACGATTCTGTCCAGCATAAATATCGTCCAAAAGATCTATTGTCCAGATGATGTAGCTATTGTCCAGATGGTAGCTATATTCTGTCCAGACAATATATTCTGTCCAGGCGATATATCCTGCCCAGACGATATATCCTACCCAGACGATATATCCTGCCCAGACGATATATCCTGCCCAGACGATATATCCTGCCCAGACGATATATCCTGCCCAGACGATATATCCTGCCCACGGGGGCGTCGTTCTCCCAGCTCCACAACACGCCACCACTCTCACCCTCAATGGTCGACCTCCAGGAGCCAAGTTTTGAGTGTGTGTCGAGACTAGAATAATTAACTAATTTATGCAGGGAGGTGTTGAGGGCTGGTGGAGGAGAGGGAAGGAAGGGAGGGGAAAAGGAGGAGGGGGAAAGAAGGGAGGGGGTAGGAGAGGGAAGGGAGGGAGGGGGAAGGAGGGGGAAGAGAGAGGCATTACCACAACCTGAAGGTGACAATTACGTAATCAATTAACTAACCCTTTAAGTACGATGCCTTTCACATGAGTACTATATCTTCATCCCTTGAGTACGACACGACATATCCCCTTGAGTACGACGACTTATCCCCTTGAGTACGACGACTTAACCCCTTGAGTACGACGACTTATCCCCTTGAGTACGACGACTTATCCCCTTGAGTACGACGACTTAACCCCTTGAGTACGACGACTTATCCCCTTGAGTACGACGACTTAACCCCTTGAGTACGACGACTTATCCCCTTGAGTACAATAACGAATACTCATTAGATTATACGTCATTGTACTCAAGGGGATTAATTGCCTGTAAGGAGTATGTGTAAAATCACCAGGATTAATCACCAATTAGGTTATATAGAGCTGGTGGCTGGTGTTAACTAGCGATTAGATGTAAATGTTCTTGACTCTTAACTAAAGAATATTTTTTACGAAGAACTAAGTAAAAGTGGTTTTTTTTCTATATGGAACCTAACCTAACCTAACCTAACCTAACCTAACCTAACCTAACCTAACCTAGGCCAAGCCAAACCAATCCTAACCTAACCAAATCTAACCTAACCAAACCTAATCTAAACAAGCCAAACTTAACCTGACATTACCTAACCTAACTTCCCTAACCTAACACGAAACCTAACCTAATCATGCACCATTAACCCTCCCTATCTCGTACAATTAACCCCCCTTATCTCGCACCATTAACCCTCCCTATCTCGCACCATTAACCCCCCTTATCTCACACCTATAACCATGGCACCATAACTCACCTCATCTCAGCTACCATCCATCATCCGTTCACTCTAAGGCTCCCCCACTCTTAATAGCTCTTCATTTATGGAACCTTTAATAATTTCCTAACTCACAAAAGTCTCTCACACATTGTTTTTATTTTGAGTCAATTCCTTGGTGTTTTTCTTTTCTGGGAAGTTGATTGGTCCCCCGAGACGCCATTACCTGATTGGTCACTTTAGTGTGTTCTCTTAATAATATCGTGATTGTCTTTATCTATTCTGTATATATATTATGTGATGTAAATTGACTTAAATCAGGTTCAGGTTAGTGTTGGGTTAGCGTTAGGGGGGTTAGGTTAAGTTAGCGTTAAGTTAGCGTTAGGGGGGTTAGGTTAAGTTAGCGTTAAGTTAGCGTTAGGGGGGTTAGGTTAAGTTAGCGTTAAGTTAGCGTTAGTTTCGTTGGTATTATGTGTAGCTAACTGGGAGAGTTTTAAGTATTATTGCTCACACTAACTATTGTCGTTGTTGCTGGTTCATTGTATACATTTCCTTTTTCCCTTTCATCAAAGCTTTGTGGGAGGGATAAAATGTAGCTGTGTGTGTGTGTGTGTGCGTGTGTGTGTGTGCGTGTGTGTGTGTGCGTGTGTGTGTGTGTGTTACAATAAAGCCACATTCCCTACTTAGGCTATGCGTTGCCCTCACTGGAACAACTTGTCGCCTACAAACTCGTGAACCCTCTCCCTCCTACCACCATTTTACTGTACACACTTCACCATTGTTTACCCAACTCCATACCTGTTAAACACTAATCATTCACAGGAATCCCCCATCACCTGGATAATTAGTCCAGTCGTAAGTAAGATAATCGGCTATTCTCACCCTCACCCCAGGTAACTATCTTAAACAATTACCGACATAATTACACACTGTATATTACTACGACATAATAATAATAATAATAATAATAATAATAATAATAATAATAATCATAATAATTTATGGTTGTCCCACGTGTTCGAGGATGGCCGGCCTAAGGGCCACCTTGGCGTGAATTTGTTTAAGATGTAGAAGCTGTCGCCAACACAACAACCACACCCGAAGGTAAAACGCTGCATGACCCAGTGTCAAGGAATAATCCGAGAAGACCGGACAACTCGCCAACTGCACTGGCCAAGCATTACCCCGGAACACGATCTGCAAATCGATAAACAGAGGCAAATGGCGCAATGAAACTTGCCCATTTTTTCACCCGGCCCGGGGATCGAACCCGGGTCCACTCACTAGCGACTACTGAACCCTCTTGACTCACGTGCCATAAAGAATCGCAGCTTCACAAACT